ATGCAGTTTTGCATATTTTCTTCCTAAATTTAAAAAACTGTGTTAAAACATGTTCATATTATTTTGTTAGGCTTCATATTTGTACCAATACAACATTTTTTTCAAACAATACACAACTTTACTTCTGGCCTATGTTTTTTAGCATCTGTGTCCTGTGTCAGTTTACAGTAATGATCTCTGTGTATACAGTGAGTTCATCCATGATTTATCTTATTGTCTTGTGCATTATTGTTTGCATGTTCCTCAGTGGCTAATGGATTCACAGCACAGGAACTCTGTGGGCAAATAATGGAAATGTCCTGAGTTAATGGGATAGCTGCTGAGATCAGTTTCATCATTCATCTTTGCGCCTACAGTGGTCCACTGTCGCATAGAAAATGAAAGGAAAACATAAAATGTTCACGGTGTTTGTTATAAACAAGACCAGCTTCCTAGTTCAGCTTTGACTTTCTTTTTTTTATGTGACCACACAGCTTCCCCATGCAGTCAGGGATTGTTACTGCCATTTCACGTGCTCACCTCTAGCACAACCCATCTGATCTCTTGTGCCACCGTGTTCCTAGATATCAGTACAATGCTGTCAGCACAGACAAAAACTAAATGCCCCAAACTATGAAAATTGGTTTCTGCTACATCGTCATAACTATTTGTACTAGATTGAGAAAATAATTTTCATTGTACGGTATCTTTTAAATTATTCTTTATTCGCTGTTTGACTCAGCTGTCAAACTGAGCAACACATAATCAGATGCTGCCACCAAAATACAGAATGGGGAGCCTGAAAGAAAACCAAATGGGGGGGCCAGTGAATCTCCAACGGTGACACGTTTGGCAGTATTTTCACAATACATAATGTTTATCACATCCATTGTTTTTCATTCACGAGTTGATTCTTCCAAATTATCCACACCCTGTCCACCAGACTCTATATACGTTAATCATTCATTTCCTTTTCTCCATGTATTCATACACCTGTAAAACAACAGAGGACCTGTTGTCAGCTAATTTAGGGCGGCTGTGGCTTAAGGAGTAGAACAGGTCATTTCCTAACCAGAGGATTAGTGGTTCGATTCCCGGCTTGTCCAGTCAACATGTCAAAGTGTCCTTGAGCAAGACACTGAACCCCCAGTTGCTCCCAGTGATAGTGTGAATGTGTGAGTGTTTGTGAGTGCGAATGGGTTAATGTCCAAGTAGTGTGAAAGCGCTTTGAGTGTGATGTAAATTGTAGAAAAGCTCTATACAAGTATAAGACCATTTACCATTTAATAATGAATATCTGACTAAATGTGCAGGCTTTCAAAACTTGGAGTACTTTTAAATTAAATTGCTAAGGCGGTGTAGAGTGTGTGAACATATTGGACTTTGCAGCTAATGCACTGCCATACTTTTGATAAAACAAACTAATATCTGGTTTTATGGGCTTGTGCACGAGTGTGTGAATAAGTTTCTTTGTTTACCTGTATCTTTTACAACCTGTGTGTATACTGCATGCATGCACAAAGCTAAGATTCTCCAGATAAAGAGTGAGTGTGCTCTGTCTTATCCTGTCTTTATCCTTTCATACTCATTCACATGCACGCTCTATAGCAGTGAAGTGGCTATTGGATTACCCGTGTGGCTGTTATCCCATTACAAAGGTTGTAATCTGTCTGTGTGTGATATCAGACAGTCCTAAACCAAAGAAAGTGTCTCACTCACTGAGACACAAAATTTATAGGTGTGCACACATACTACCTCAACATTTGTTCACACCTGTACATTACCCATCTTGAATTTCCCTTGAAGCCTTTACAAAATATTGCATCCATAAATCAAGGAGGCAGGGCTGGTGCATGCTTTGTTTTAGAAGCATTGGGTCCTCATTGTTAGGACAGGAAAGTCCTTGCAGACAAATATGTGGAGGTATTGATAGTATATCAGAGGGACAGGTGGGATTAGAAGATTTTCCTCCTCATAACTTTAGGCTCAAGTAACTGATATGTACACACCAGTGAGTAAACTTTGAACTCGCCCTCCTCCAGCATCGGGCCTTGGCAAGCCAAAGAGAGGAGCGGCTGCTTGTGTGCGTGTTTATGATTTATGAGGTGTTTAAAAGAATCTGTGAATACTGTGCACATCTATATATAAGCATTGACCCGCACAAGAACTCCGGCTGAGCAAACCAGATGTACAGTATATCTTTTTTAAAAAGCCATATCCGTGTTTTCAGTTTAGTTTTATGACCGTTTTTACAGCCCCCTCATTGCGGCTGCTGCTGTCTCACTGGTCATAGATGAAAATAAATTACCCCTTGATAAAAAGAACTGCATTTCCTTCCTTTATGTTTCCAGACATAAAGCCTGTCAGAGAAGTTCTGCATTTTTTTCTGCTGTCAGTGAACATACCTGACTGTCTTTTGATCAACAAGAAGGCGGTGTATAAAAAAAAAAAAAAAAGAAAGCCAGAATAGTGTTTTTCATCATCAGTTCTGAGAGGAGCCGGGCAGGCCGCCCACCGCCACCAGGATGCCTGCTGTGTACCTGCTGCAGGACCCAGCTGAAAGGAAGCTGCCTCTGACATTATTACAGCTCGCTTTTAGATGTGACTTCAGCATGAATGTTGACTACATCCAGAGTTCTCAGATTTAAATTTGCATGGACTTCCTAAGCTTTGTGTTCAGTCCTAAAAATGTAGGCAACCACTAATGGTGTTCATTGAGGGTGCCCGTCTCATTTGTGCTCCCCCCGCTCAATGTCGCCAAGTGCTTGCTCAAGGGGGATTTGTTGGGTTTTTCCTCTATAATAATAATTACAGTAAGGTGTAGACTTTTTACTTTGAGGTGACTTTTGCTGTGATTTGGCGCTATACAAATACAACTGAATTGAACTGAATTTGCAGTTTAGAATATTCACGAAGTTGCCTTTAAAAATGGCTGTTGCTGTAGAGCAAAGCAGATGGCATTTCTTCTACAGACACACAGCAGTGATAACACTCAGGAATGCATTTTGGGTACGTGCGCATTGCAACACATTATCAGAACTGAGTTTACATATTTGGAATAACTTAACTATGCTGAGTTTCTACTGTAGGAATGCCTTACAGTAGGTCAAAGTATACTGTACATAACCAGGTGGGGTACATGTTCCTTTGTACCCCAAAACCATTATTTGACTAATTTATGATAAAATTGCCAGTAGGTCAGTCCACGTTGTTTCAGCAGCTGCTGGATGGATTAGATCTATGTTCTGCAGAAGATGAATCATAATAATTCTGGTGATCCTCTGACTTCTCCTTTAGCACCACTTCCACATTGATAATTGTGGTGTTTGTGTGAATTTCTCAACAACTATTGGATAGATTGTTAAATGCCGACAGTCGTAATTAGGTTTGTGTTTCTATTATTGTAGTTGTGAGTGCCAGAAAAGGCCTGCTGCTTTTGTTATCCATGTTTTTCTGACCTATACATTGACCTGTGTCGCTGACATATAACTGTTGATGTTTGAATATTGGTATTGGACTACGTTGTGGGAAGGCTGTCAAACTGAATTGCCCATATGGGATTAATAAAATTATTTGAATCTAGTTGACACATCACATAATCTTCATCTCAGGAATAATTGTAATAACTTTGGTCAATCCCTAAATTTTCAACTAGCATCATTATTAGGTCAGAATTAAAAATTTTCAAATATCATTACTTTCTGGCATTTTATTGACAGAGTCATGAATCAGTTGAGATATCAGTTCTGAAATAAGATGTTCACTTGGTGAGTGAGTGGCATATTAAGCAAGTAGGATGATCCTGTGAATGTGAGAGATGGATGCAGTCAGACTTGGCAGGTAGGGACAACATTCCAGTGTGACTGAGGCCCTCACCTATAGCTCGCTAGTAGAACATGAGAGGTGGAGGAGTAAACTGAGATGTGGTGAGCCATGATCTCCACCCATCTGTTACTTTGGGAATCCCCCCCCCCTCCAAAATGTCTCCCCCTGTCAGTCTTTCAGCTTGTTTCTAGCCGGCAGCACTGCAGCTACCATGTTAACCAGATGCTGTTATTTTTGCTTCCCAGTGATGACACACTGTTTGCATACTGGCTTTGTTTACTCAGCCAAGTAGGCAGCTCACATAAGCCGGGTGAGTGATATCATTATCTTTAGCGGCAGGAATCATTTTTAGATGTTATGATTTTAAGAAAGACTGGTGATGGGGTTGTACCTACTGTTGTTTGCCTTGGTCTCTGTTAATTGCTACTATAGAACTGCTCTCTGGCATTGGGGAACATCTTTTCCATCAACTTCCTCCACCCCTAATTCATAAGTAATGACCATGCAGGAAGCCTAACCAAGTAGCAGAGCAGACATGCTGCCTGGCAGGCTTTGTCCCAGTGGGCCAGAACTGTTTATCTCTCACAATAATGACATATGCATCGATTGGTTTAAGGAAAGCTAAAGGTAGCTAAAACGAGACTCAGGATTAGGGAAGACTCTCAGCTTTTAATCTTAATTTATAATAGACTGAGTGATTTTTGGAAATAACTTGTAAGCTCTTTTTATACAAAACTTGTATTTGCTGACCAAGAGATATTAACCAAAAACATAAGTGAAAAGTGATATTACCAATGATATAATTCAGTTTGTAAATCAGGATTTCTAAGAAGTGGACTGACGCTGCCCCGTTAAACAGAATAATGTGAAAACACCGTTTCTGACAAACTGTGCACATACAATAGGCGGTACAGTAGATGTCTGATATTTTAGGGCATATAAACATAAAAAATAGGTTTCTGAGTTTAGGGGGTCTTCAACAAAGCAGTGTGTCTTGAGTTTTTGGGGGAATCGATCAGTATAACGCTACTGCAGGGTGACTGCTGTACATGCTTTGCAGAATTGATCACATCTGCCCTAACTCTACTTTCTTTTGACATCTATAAATGGCTCCATTACCCTAACTGTGTGAGATGGATGGTTCTCCTTGACTGACCTCTCATTTCCTCCCTCTCTCTCTCTCTCTCCTCTCTCAGATGACATGGCGTCCTCAGTACCGCAGCTCCAAGTTCCGCCATGTGTTTGGTAAGGCTGCCACCAAGGAGAGCTGCTATGATGGTGTGCCAATCACATGCAATGTGCAGGACAACAACTTCTGTGCTGTCAACCCACTTTTCCTGGCAGTCATCACCGAATGTGCTGGGGGAGGGACCTTCTTAGTCCTGTCTGTCCATCATGTGAGTATCTGCACCTCATGGTAGAATTTACAGACTCATGGCAGTTTTCTAAAGTGGTGGTTGCACCACTTCACTCAAAGTGTAGATGAGAGGTCCAGTGAAATGGTCCCATTGTTTTGCTGATTTGTACTCTGCAGGGAGACAATTTCTCTTGCTACAAAGACAGAAATAGCCTGCTTCCAGACCTCTGAATCTCAGTCTTTTAAAGTGATTCGAGTAAGTAAGTTTTGTTCTAGTAGGTGTTCCTGTCGGTGGAAAACAGAGTTTTGCATTCAAGATTAAATTAAGAATGAGCTAGCGCACTGTCCGCTAGTTCTGTGTGACTACTCTGAACTATACATGGCTGTTTTCTCACATAGGCTCACTCCAGCTCACTTGGACATTATGCAGACTTTGTACTAGGGAGTTGACAGAATAAAGTCCGCTTAATGTCTGGGTGCTGTTCTCACATACAGCTTCTCTGTGTAATGTCTAGATCATTTCAGGGTTCCAGTGGAGTGAAAGTGGCTTAAGTCAGAAGCAACTATGGAGAGAAGAAAAGTTTTCCCTTACAAAAACTACAAATGTTTGATTTTTTTTTTTTATATTCTGGTTTTGTCTGCATTGGACAGCAATATATTTTGGGGACAAAATCTTATCATTTATTTCATGTTTATTACATTTTCATGTATCTTTGTTTCTGTACACGCAGCACACCTGGATACAGAATAATGTAGAAGTAGCACATTTGCAGTGCAGTCAAAAGAAACTAAATACCTAGAAACCCCCGGCAGCTCATTCAGTACAACCTAAAAATAGCTTGTGGTTTTAACTTTCCCCCTCTTTATTCATTCATCAAATTTACCTTGTACGTGATTCATCAGTCGCTCTTCCAGACATTATTTATGCACATTATCACATTCAATGGTGTTAATCAATAACAATAATGATCTCTGAGGTAAACTTTACACATGTACTAGTTAAATGTACAGTCCTGCTGTATACCTCCAGTCCAGAGAGATTCATCAAGCTGAACACCTCCCCCTCCCTTCTCCCTCTCTCTGCCTGTCTCCATCTTTTAAGTTGCAATTATCACTACCCTCCTGATATGGACAGGAATTGCATATAAGCTTAGGAATGACATAATTCATCCCCTCTTTCCCGCCCTTCACTATCTCAAAGAGCTGAAACTCCCACTTTCGGCGCTGCATCCCACCTATGTGTGTGCATTTACAGATGTAGTAAGTGTTTGTTCTTTGGAGAATGTCGTTAACACAAATATATAAAAGAACTTAAGAATGATGTTCTACTTTCCTGCGTACGTGTTAGGTTTACGTGTTAGGTTTACGTGTTAGGTTTTCTGGAAACACAGATAATAGTTACATCATTCTTTTGTTTCAAACACACCTTACCTGCACAGTAATCTAGCCTGCAGGTGTGTGTGTGTCAGTTCAAAGATCTGTTCTCTTTGTACAAACAGGATAATTAGTGGTCCTGTTGAGGCAGACAATGTTCAGCAAGGCTCAGTGACTTTTCCTTTATAACTGGGTCATCGAATACCAGGGTGGTGTGCCACAAATGTTTTGTGCAGTTTAGTTTAAGTTGTTTAATGTTAATGTGTTGGATGGTTTGAATGCTTGCGAGCTGAGATACTTGTCCTGACCTGTAAAGATGGACCTGTCCTAACTTTGTGGATCTGACTGGTTGTCTTTCTTTAAAGCTGCGCTGATCAATATTTTTATATTAAAGGGGATCTCCACTGATTTTACACGTAACAGTCTGTTAACAGTTCTTGGGGAGTAACTACTACATATGTGAGTAGTAAAACACAAGAGGTTCATAGAAGTTTAAAATACAAGTTATAAATATTTGAAACACTACAATAACATATACAGATGTCCTTATATCTGCTTATAACTACATTGTGTTATAAAGCATTTATTAAATGCTTTTATAGTGTTAGTAGGGGCTTTAAAGTAAAATGTTTAATTATTTTTATTTGTGTTTTTCTATCAGACAGGTAAAGTGGACCCTCATCATCCCAGAGTGTCGGGCCACAGAGGAAATGTGTTAGACATCAAATGGAATCCCTTCAATGACTACTGCATTGCCTCCTGCTCTGAGGATGCCACGGTTTGTAGACACACATGGTGAATCCCAATTCCTTTATTTTATTGTTCCTCGATTCCTCGCTCGACCCAGAAGCCATTCCAGTCCGCCATGATGAAGGCTGTCCCACAGCTTTTATTTCTGCTCTGAGGAGTGAGGAGGCTGCTGGAGGAGCTATAACCAAGGATACACGAGTGTATCCTTTACGGAAGTCTCTTGCAGACTGACACACCCCTTTTTTGGACATCAGTTTGTGATTGGACGCTTCACATAAAGGATCAGCGGAAAGGTTGTCTCGTGTCAGTTTAAACGTGTTTCCTTGATTCTTCCTCCTAGCAGTTTCTCCTTGCATCATTTCCTTGCATCTTGCGTGGGCAGAACTAAGACATAAGGAAAAGGCACGAGTGAGGGAAACATGGATGCAATTAAGGGAACTGGGATTCACCTACACACTCACACACATTTGTTTTCATCCCTTGTGGGGACTTTACATTGAATTACAGTATATTCATTTCCTGGAGACTTGCTCTAGCCTTAACAAAAAATTACTTACCTACCTCTTACCCTAACCTTAAGCCAAGCTGTCGCTTTACATGAAGGCTGGGTCCTCCACAGTGTAAGGCCACACACAAACAAAGTACATTATCTGAAAGGATTCAGTGACTTTATCATTTGCCCTGGAATATGAGCATGTTGCAGTTTAGCCTTTCTCACATTCCTCAGCTGTGACCTGGCAGAGTGGATCAGATCAAATCCCCATAGACAGACAGACAGAGAAAGAAGAGCCATCAGGTTTTGCGTCTTATTTAGACTTGTTTTGCAAACAAGCATCCTGTGATTTTTACATTGGCTATTTTACCAAACTTTAGAGATTTTATGTGCAGAGATTGCTTTTTAATGTTTGTTAATTTGATGTAGTGTGTGTGTGTGTGTCTGCGTCTGCAGGTGAAAGTGTGGGAAATCCCTCCTCATGGTGTGCTGAAGACCCTTTCAGTGCCATGGAAGGAGCTCCAAGGTCACAGCCGCAGAGTGAACCTCATTGAATGGCACCCAACTGCTAACAACATCCTCTTCAGTACAGCCTACGACTACCAGGTAACACAAATATACAAACTAACCCTAACGCAAACTTGCAAGAAGTTAGCTCAGGATGGACTGTGACATATACTGTAAGCAATTGTGTGTTAAAGTGCAGCCAAACAGGTCACAGCACTTTGTAGCAGCCTAGTTCTTGGTTATGAATCATGATAAAGATCCTTTGTGGCTACAATACAACTCACTGATTATTATAGTATTGTCCTATCAAGAACCCACATATGACAAACGTGGTCTCACTGTAGCGCTGCAAACTACACTGCAGTCCTGTTACACACGACGTATTTTTACTTTGTGCGGTTATGTAATTGTTCCTTTTAATTTGCATTGAATGTTTTAATCAACTTTGCATTCTAATGTTTTATCTATTTGCCTTGCCTTGAAAACTTCCTCCCTAACTAGCACATTTATGCATGAAAATAAATAGTGTCTATCCTTCTACACATCCAGATAATGATCTGGAACCTGGATTGTGCAGAGCCTGTGATAAAAAATCCTGTACGAACCATCAGCAATCACACAGACGTGGTTCTCTCAATGTCTTTCAACACTGACGGCAGCCTGCTCGCCACCACGTGCAAGGACAGGAAGGTTCGACTGATGGAGCCGCGCTCAGGAAGCCTGCTGCAGGTGATACTCTTTGTGTGCACGTGTTGTTGTTGTTTGTAACTTTATCTGCAGCAACAATCCTGCAACAACATTTAAGGAAATACATTGTTCTGGCTTTGATATTTTATTCACTAGCCTAATTTAATTTAACACAATCCCAGTATTTGTTTTTTATTTCAGAATACAGGGAATTTATCACAGTTTATATTATCATTATCATATTAAAAAGTTTAAAACATGATTTTAAAAGGACTGAAATATGATGATGTCTGGTTCTATATAACCTTGTTTTTCATACTCTAATCTTTGATTTGTTTTATAAAGTGCAATGTAATTTGACCTCTTTTGTTATTAAAATGAAGTTCTGTGAGACGTTTAAAGGGAAAAATCGCTCCTTGTTGAACTGAGTGCTGAAAGTCTGCTTCTGTGTTAACTATTAATGTTAGACTAAAGCTGCATTTTGGATCAGCTGATATTCTAAAGAGATCAACTCCAGATATCTTGCAGTGAAAATGACTGAAACCTGAAAACCTTGAGCTTTAGTTCTAGTTTTCCATCGCATGAAAGCTAATATTGCATAAGTAGCGTTGATCCAGCACCACACAGCCAGACTGGACACCTTTTGTCTGGACTGGCCCCTACCATAACTCCATAGACCTCAGCGTCACCAGTCATGAATTGGTATGCTCTGACTCCTTTTGCCTGTTGTTGCCTTACACTGTACATACCAAATGTGTCTGCTGTGTCACCTATTTGCAGGAAGCCAGCTGCAAGACGCACAAGGCCAGTAAGGTGCTGATCCTTGGTAACCTGAAGCTGCTCCTCACATCGGGCACTTCATGCTATAACGATCGACAGATAGCTCTGTGGGATCAGGTGAGAGCCACCTAACAGCAATGCGAGAAATAGTTTGTGTCTCGTCTCAAAGGGTCATGTACGAGCTTTCACTGGGCTTTTTTTTCTTTAGCTCTTAATCAGAAAATGGTGCTGGATCAGGTGTCATAATGTGGAATTTTGGTCACGTGATGACACACATGATCATTTGCTCTCAAGTTACTGATGTTCCAGATTTCAGGTGACACCCAAGCTGCATCTCATTCTATCTGTTTACTGATGAACACTGTGAGATGTGGTTAAATGCTCTGAAAAAGCTTGAAAGTGGACATTGAGTTGAGATCATTTTGGCACAGGAGGAGCAGACAATTCAGCTCCCAGTGAGTCCACTACAAACACCAGTCAGGTTTTGGAGCATAAGCAGTAGATAGAAGACAAGAGGAACCTAGTTTACATATCAGGATAATGTTATAGCTTTGTTTTCTATCACTTCATCACAAATGAAATGATTTATGAATGAAGGAAGAAAATGTCCAGTGCTGTATTTAACGCTGTACGGTCCAATTTGAGTTCTAGCCTCGCATGCTGTCTAGCTATAGCGAGAAAAGTGAAAACTAGAAATACAATTTCACACAAACTGAACCAGTAAAGACGAGCTGCATTTAATGTTCGGTTTTTGTTAATACTTGTTAGTGTGACCACTATTCATTTAACGGCTGAAGCAACTTTTTGTGGACTGTAACATGAAAAGGAGTTTGTGATGCAGCTTTTCTTCATCATCATCACAGAATTTGTAACTGAACTGTGCAAATAACAACGAGACAATAACATAACCAAATGACATAAATATAACTTGCAGGTGTATTGTTCTACTTGCGGTGAGAGCAGTTGCAGTTTGAGGTGCTCTTAAATTGTGTTAAAGGTGTTCCTATTTCTTTATCCAACCAATTTATATTATGAAGCTAATCACTAGCTAATAAACAAGTGCATCTCGTGTAAGGTGAGAAATGTTTTGAACATAACTATGGGACGTCATATACAGCAACTCACTGATTTTGCTCCAAATGGCCTCCTGTGTGTAACCAACACTTGGACTGTACAACCACATTAGCAGTTCCCCTCAAACTTCTCCCCTGGGTAAATATAAGTAACTGTTTTAGGCTTATTTCACAAAAGAAAATTTTTGTTTTTCCGCCATCATTGACCATCTCACAATCACTCCAATTTAATGTATATTTGTCTGAAGGGGGCACAGCTCCAGTACTAGACTGAGAATCACTGCATAGGTAAAACTAGCTTCAACAGTAAAATACTGCTCTACATTGATGTACTAGTATGTGCAATCTTTTAATACTTCCTTTACCACTGATGATCTTATGGTTCTTAAAATACTGCAAAACTCCTCGTAGACCTACACAATATGAATTCAGATTCACAGCTCTGCCATCTAGTGGACAAATGAGTGGACAAGCTAATTTTCTCATCATACCTGAAGAGTTCACTGAGCCAGTGTTGGAGTTGAAGTCATTTTCTTATTGATTATGTCAGTGCCATTCACTCTGATCAGGCCTGTTAGTCTGGGGTAGTCTGGTCTGTTCTGATGTGTGAGGAGGATGATGGCTGAAGCACAGATTAGAGATTGAGCACTCCGTGTTTTAAAGTGCTGGAGAGCACTTCTTATGCAGATGCTGATTTAAGTGATTGAGTGTTGTGATATCAGGGAAGGATGTATGTGTTGTTTATGTGTTATTTTTGATCATTTTGTTTTTTAATTTTTGTTTGCAGGATGATCTGTCTGTGCCATTGTTAGAAGAAAACCTGGATGGCTCATCAGGAGCCCTCTTTCCTTTCTACGACCCTGACACACACATGCTCTACCTTGCTGGGAAAGTGGGTGTCTAAAAGCAACTAGAGACTGTCTACATAGTTATACACTGAATACTTCATCACAAAGACATCTATTTTCTCTTGTCAGGGTGACGGAAATATCAGGTACTACGAGATCAGCTCAGAAAAACCATACATCCACTACTTAACAGAGTACCGCTCCAACTTACCTCAGAAAGGAATGGGTAAGTAACAAACACACACATAGACATACACACGGTCATATCTTAAAGTCAAATAGAAATATGAAGTTACAGCTACTACATATATGTATCTCTAACAAAGCCCCTCTTTTGTTGGGTGGTTCACTGAATTTTAATGTGTTAAATGTTAAAGTCTGTTGATGTTGGTTTGGAAACTGCGCCTGCATTGTGGCTGTGCCGACTCTCGTGCATGTGTAAGCAAACCTGCTGTGCAAATAAGGCTACAGCATTTGAATAGCCAAACCAGCTGATCAAAGCAGAGTTGTAAATCATGGCTCTTTCCATACTTTGCTGTATGTGGTGAAAGGAGAGTAGACACAAGAATGTTACAGGATGGAACATTTTTAGCATCTAGTGTATGATTTTGCTAGGACAGCATTAGCTTTGTTATTTTTCAATCACAGTACACAATCACTATATAAATTTTTTATGGGGTGTGATAGACGTTGATAATCATCATAATGTTCTATGTGAATAAATTAGGCTTCTTGAGAAATTCTACATCGGATATAATCAATTTGTTGATGATGAGTTGGGTCACTGCCAAAGGGCTAATAATACTGTTTGTACTAAAACCACAGGGTAGATATAGTATAGTACAGCAGTGCAGTAGAAGAAGCAAGTTTTCTGTGAGACGAACAGTTTCAGCTTCCTTGTTCTCCTGCAGGTGTGATGCCAAAGAGAGGTCTGGATGTGAGTTCCTGTGAGGTGTTCAGGTTCTACAAACTGGTGACAGTCAAGAGTCTCATTGAGTCTCTGTCTATGATCGTACCCCGGAGGGTAAGAGGACATTCAGCCGCATAAACTCCAATCAAAAGACGCCAGGAAATATTAGAGAAGCACGTTTTAAGTGTAATAAATTGTAGAGACCTATTTTAATGTCTGAATGCACTGCATGTGTGTTTCCAGTCAGAGTCGTACCAAGAAGACATCTATCCAATGACTGCGGGGAACATGCCTGCTCTGACTGCTGAGGAGTGGCTCAGTGGCATCAACAAAGGTCAGAAAAGATTTATGTTTGTGATGTGGTGGGGACTATACAGGTCCTGTTGCCAGGTTATGCAAGTTATCTTCCTTCTGGTTCCTCTCTGTCTTTTAGGCCCTGTGTTGATGTCCTTGAAGCCTGGAAGTCAAGTAGCTGAGTCGTATACAGAGATGAGCAAAGGGCTGGGAAATTTACTGGATGCTCGTAGGTCTGCCAACACACCAAGCAAGCTACAACTGGCGTACATTAAGGACCAACTAGGGACCAAAGACAGCAAAGAGGGCAGCAGCCATAGAGCTGACGACAGGATTCAGACACATGTTAGCAACGGAGAAGACCTCGCACTTTTCTCTCCTCCGAGGACGGAGAATGAGGTACTGAATGATTTTGGTGTTTCTGTAGTGTTTGTTGGTCAGTCCACCACTTTGGTTTTATTCTAAAATGTCTCAGCTGTTAGATGGATTGCTGTGAAATTTGGAACAGACCTTCATAGTCCCCAGAGGATGAATACCAATGATGATGGCCTATCTTTTTATCAGGTGCCATCATGAGATTGATATTTGTGGTTTTGAGTGAAAACTGTTGACAACTATTGGATAGATTGCTATGAAATTTGGTGCATACATTCATTTTTCCTATATGATGAATAGAAATAACTTTAGCAATCCATTCCGTTTTCATCTAGTGCTCAATGTCAATATCAAGTTAGAATTTTAATGGAGTCACTAGCATGGCTGTAGTCTTATTAGTCAGAACTTCTCTCATCTGAATTGTGGCAGCTGGACAACAATGACAACAAACACTATGTTTTATCTGCCCCATCTCCAGTGAAAATACCAACCTTGATACATTCCAGTATATTGTGTATATGTTTTGTCCACAGTTGCGTATCAAGTTCCACAAGCAGCAGGAAGAAATCCGACGGCTGAGGGAGCTCCTTAACCAGAGAGATGTGCGCATCAAACAGTTGGAGCTAGAGATTAAGAACATCAAAAACTCCCAGTCTCAGAGCTCATTTTAAGACCTGGCTGAGCTGCGGAGCCACCATCAACTCCTCACAGGGCACATTTATTACTTTACAGACTCGCTTTCATTAACTTTTTTTTTTTGTTTTAAACAGGGAGTTGCTGCAGATGAGCATGTATGCTCAGTCAACCTGCCCTGTATAAATAATAATAAAAAAACATTTATAATAATGATAATAAATAAATCACTAACCCTGTTCTCTAACCATCATACTATGTGTTGGGCCCTCATGAGCCCCCATACTCTCTGCACAGGGATAATTTTAAACCTGTACTTTTATGTTGTCGTTTTGTCATTCTACATAAGGTGCACATATTCTTTGTTCACTTACATACACTGACTCTTATCCAACTGTAACACAACTTAAAACTCTTTGCACGTTTTAATCTTTCCCATTTCTTTTGTACATGTCACAGCTATGCAAGTTTATTGTAATTTGTAGCTTTTTTTATGCTCTTTGTAGCTGAGAGGTAAAAGGGCGTGCGTGTCTGTCTGGAGCGAATGACATGGCTGCCTGCGTGTTGTTTGAAATTTGTTGCAGGACAAGAGCAGACATCCTGTGTGACTGTAATTAGAACACTGGATTTATTTTCTATGTTTGGTGTTGCCCCCCCCCCCAATATTTAAACTACTGTAAGTGAAGATTGCTGTGGTGTGTAATGTATCTGTACTTGAATGAGAGTGAGCTAAATGAATGACAGCACCATTATCCTGGCTGTGTTCTGCCATTCCATTGAGCTACATTTGTTTTTAGTTTTTCTATTTTTAAATGACAGGAAAATTGGTGAGAAATTGATCTGTTTGATGGCGGCTGTTGTGTAAGCCAGTCCTGTAACTGATGCTGTGGAGAAGCTCTGATCTTAATTTTTATATTTATTTTAAAATACAGTAAAAGAAAATACAGTTTTATCTTGAACTTGAATTTGCTTTTGTAATTTTGGAAAATACAGCATACAAACCTGGAAAAAAAAAAAAAAAAGTCTGCTTGCTTTTTCCTGATGTGGCGTTACTGTGAAGAAACAGTTTAGAGCCGGAGTATAGCACTAATTTTAGATTAGCCTCATTTCTACTACTCTTGTTACCAGTATTCACTGTAATTTCCCATAATGTGTGTCTTTTATTGCTCTTTGTAGAAAGATGTATGATTGTAATTTTGGAACTAGAGTGAGTTTCTCAGAGCTTTAAAAACAAAAGAAGTCACGTCACATAGAAAGCTAGAAGACAGTCTGACTAAAAAAAAAAACCAAATACAATAAATTCAATTTTGCAGCATTCAACACAATATTTAACAACACAGTTCATACAGTTTACCTTTTAGTCCCACACATAGTAAACACTTGTATCTAGGCTAGATCAACCACAGAGCAGTAACAAAGGTAAACATACTGAGGCACTGACAGAAAGTGAAAGCTTCTGGCACAGACCGGTGTCTCATATTTGATGCTTTCTGAATGGGGCAGTTTATTCTGACCGTTTGTTTATGTTGTCAGAAGCACAAGCATCATGAAAATTCTGCTGTACATCTGGCTGATCACTTGTAAAAGGTTAACCTATAGAAACTGCCACACCTACCCACAGACATGCACATAAGCTGGTTTCAGTACAATTGTTGTCTGTGACCCCTTTGACCTTAGGCAGGACAGTTGTGACACAGCTCAACCAGGGTACACAAACTACCACTGCTGTTGGTGGACAAGTCTCCACATTGTTTAGAATGACTATCAACATTAAAGAGCATTCACTGGTTACTCTGAGGATTAAATGGTCAGTGCAGTTTATACCACAAATAAATTCTAAGCCTGCAGGGAACACTGCATATTACTAGCTAATAAGTATATTAGCTGCTATTTATCTTGACTGTCACTCGCACCTTTGTGCCCACATTCATTTGTTTCACAGGCTTATCCACAGATAGCCTTTAGTAGTTGGAGTTTGCACATTTAATGCATTAAAATAATACATATCTGGTGTGTTTGCTTTAAAGCCTTCATATGCCCAAACAGGTGACTAGACTAGACTTCTATTCAGGTTGTAATTAGGTGGATCTTTGGTGGAATTACCAAGATTTACCAATGAAAAAAAAAAGATAAAAGTGTAATTCCTCCCAACCAAACTAGTGCAACAATATTAATACAACAGGACTGTCTGTACAATATCAATCAATCAATGTTTATATGGTAGCATAGTCATAAAAGGCACCAGGTGAGAACACCTCTGTGGATGGACCATAGGTACAAAGGTATTAGCAGAAAATATACTCAAAGTAACCAAAGGTAAAATTACTCATTATGCAAAATGGTACAGTTTATATTGATGTGCATCTTATTATTCAGTTATAGCGATGTATTATTGTGTACATTACATTTAATGTTTCGGCTGGTAAAGGTGGAGCTAATGTTAACTACCTTACAGTTTATGCTTATACTTTGAATTACTCCTGGGTAGCATGGAAAGTTTACACCAAATTTTTGAACTTTGATCAGTTCATTGAGGTTATCTGAGTTTGGGCTTGGGGAGCACATATGCGAAGCAGCTTGCGTAACAAACTGATGTGGAGTTGGAGTCGACCATGGGCATTTACTATGTAGGGAGCATCCGAGGAAAAGTTGCTAATGGTTGTTTTATGGTAAATGCAGGCCGGAGCTACAGTATATTAAGCATCAGGGATATATCAGTCTTTGCTGCTTTAATTTTGACTATACTTTTTAAAATGTCTATTCATTTAAGTACTGTAATGAAGTTTCCCTTTAAATGATGAGTGATTGAATTTATGCCTGAGGGGTCTCAACTGGGCATTGCATCGAGGGTCTGTTGAGACAAAATGTTTGGAACCGCTGCTGTGTTCACACTTCCTTTCCATAATGGTTGTGAAATGATCCCTCTCCACTATCGAGACAGATCTGTATAAAATCCAAATGTATCTTTTAGGCCTAGACAAGTCTTCTGTGGACTTTTATATACAGTCACACAACACTGTAGAGAACATGTTGAGAGCAGAACAGCATGAGGGGAAGGGGAAAAGTGTGGCCCTATGGCCATCATTCCATCCCTTCATGTTAACTCTTCTGACATCTAAAAAGCAAGGTAGTACGAGAGAAAAGCACAAAATGTTAACATTTTATTTACAAAGTTGTTTTTTGTCATACAGAAAGTAAAAATGTAGCTACAACCTTAATTTGTGCAACAGGCGGCCACACTAAAAACCATGGCTCGCTGGTTGCACAGCTGCTATAGCAATAACTTTATTGGGGGGAAAAATAAGGAACGGAGAAAAAAAAAGACAAAATTGAGAAATAAGCCCAACAACAAAAAATTATTCATCCAACAAAATATTAAAAGCACAAATCCAAAACTAGATACCAGTCCCAAAGTCCTCACACGGGAATACATAAGGAGGGATCAACAGTGAAACTGTGGAATGCTGAGTGGTGGGCTGCCTGAGAACCTTGGAGACCGTGGGGTGGAAGGTGCTGGGGGGCTCTCAGTTCTGTGGGGAAAGAAAAAAAACAGGGGCAGCTCCACTCGGCCCGCCCATCTGGTACAGTCTTGCCCCATAAAAAGAGCTCAGAGCTGGGGGAGGGCTAGAGACGTGGATTACAAAGGCGGTGTGAGTTGTAGGAGGGCGAATGTTTGGGTTTGTGGGGGAGAAAGGATAACTCGGTAGGCTCTCATCTTCAGCTTTGCTCTTAATCATCGTCTTCATCATCCTCTTCCTCGTCTTCATCCTCTGGTTCTCGCTTTCTCTTCTCACCTTTGCCAGCCTCTGCTTCTGAAGGCAAAAAAAGGACAAGGGTGTTATCGGTTCAAGACCACAACACGCTGGAGCTGAAATTAAATGACCAATCTGCTGATTCTTTTCTTCAATAATCAGTTAGGCCCACAAATGTTAGAATATAGCAAAATGCACAATGCTATTTCCTGTGATGGGATCTTGTGATATTAAAAATGGGACACATATCATTGAGACAAGAGCTGTCTTGCAATATCAATGTAGCTCCCTACTGTGTTTTAATGCACGGGGCTGCATTGGTCAGGGGGGTGAGGGGTTGCCTTGTAGGCCATGTTATGACAAGTTGACGTGAGCGACTTCATTCATGTTTCCAGCCTTTGAGTTTCCATTGTGTTTTGGTTAGCCATGCTGCTAATGTAACGTACTCTACCTTCTACCACCAGTGTGTTGGCACTGAGATAAAAACCCTGGTTTAACATTCAGTACTAACGAAAACGTGTGGTGTGTCATTACGGCGTGTTAACCGTGGCCCAAATTCGACAGCGAATGCTCACGCCAACAAGGTAAACAAAAAAAAGACTTCTTTTCGTAGGCGTCCACGTCCCAATCGTCTCCCATACATGACTGGTCAATGCAGCACCTTTGCTGGATGATGTCACTGTCTGGTGAGGTGTGGTGAATGTAAAAATAGCACACAAGGTCTCGCACATCTTCAGTTAGAAGTTAGAAGCTCATGTACAGTTACAAGGTCTGAAGAGACTCATGAAATCAGGAGAGAAGCCAGTCAGTTGAGTTTGTGGCAAAACCTTTTATAGTGCCTGCATACTGTCATCCTTTATTGCATAATCAAATCTTTTTTTTTTTTTATCAAAAATCGTTCTCAATCAAATCGTGACACCAAGATTCAGAATTGAATCAAATCCTGAGTTTGCCAAAGATTCCCATGCCTGCTCATAATAATCAAATGCAAACATCGAGTTTTACTGAAGACATCCTCTAGTGGGTTCTTAAGTGTGTGAACAGCGTCTGTGGTCACTTTCATGTTTTGCTGTTCCTACATCTAATAGTGCTACATGATTAGCAGCTGAAAGTAAATTGTGCCAGACATGCATCTTCAGTACTGATATTTTTCAGAATTTAACCATCTCTTCCTTCCTCAGGTGTTTTACACTCAGACTGTAATGCCATTTTTCCAATGCCATGATTAACATTATCATGTCATATTGTACTTGTAACCGATCTTGTCTTATTTTAAAGTACTTTATGAAAATCAGCAGTGGGTAAACTTAATCCCGATATGAAAATGTTTTATTGGTCATTTATTAAGTGAACTATGGTACTCATCATTCTGCATTTATTATGTTTAAATCTGCAGCTTAGAAGCAAATTCAGTCTTTCCATTAATATCCAGAACTGCTTTGCTTCCAAAACTGGACAAATGCAGCTTAAATATTTCCAGCTACTGACCTTTGCCCACACACCGCCCTTTAACAGTAAACAAAAAGAAATGTATATCTCTATACTGTTAAATCTTAAGGAGTATTTTAACCACTAAATACACTGTGTTAGTAAACTATGCAGTGGCTCCAGAGAGTACTCGCACCATGTATCAAATTTAATTCAAATGGATAAAATTGCTATTTATGCCCTCTATATTCAATAACCCATAATGACAAAGTAAAAAACACATTTTTAGAACTGTTTTTGTAAATGTATAAAAAAACAAAAACATATCTCTCACATAGGTGAAAGTGTCTGATTACTTTCTGAAGCCACTGCACATAGTCATCTTATTATAATGTCTACTGAATGTGCTTTTATTTTGTGTCAAGTTAACTTTGTCCTCTAGACCAAGAAATATACTTCATGCCCCTGACAGAGACTCCTGCCCTGTGGAGAGTTTGGATTTTCAGCGAGCATGTGGCCAAGAGCAGCAGCAGTAGCTGACCGAGTTATCGGGTTCTGGGTTTGAACGTATTTTAAAACTTGTGACGACGGCGTGTTCAACTTATATCTGGGTGTATAGTTACTCTTCAAGCAGACAGCACATACCATCTTCATCTTCATCCTCATCTTCATCCTCTTCATCTACTTCTCCATCCTGACCAAATTCTTCCTCCTTGATAAACAGAATTATTCACATTAAAAAGAAATTACACCTGAACTGCAGTGACATTTTCAGACAAATCATGCCTCAAAGCTTTTTTGAGTTTACCTCATCTTCTCCGCTGACCTCATCATCATCCTCTTCTCCTTCTACCTCCTCTTCATCCTCCTCATCCTCCTCTTCCTCGTCAAAGTCCTCTTCCTCTCCGTCCTCATCTTCCTCCTCCTCTCCCTCTGCAATACGAAACAGCCAACCACAGACAAAGTGCAAACATGCTAAGAAAGAGAATAAACAGACCATGTAGCAATAAATATTACAGCAAATGTAGGACAAGCAGCAATGCAAAGGTTAAAATGTAATGTCATATAATTACTCACCATGTTATGATTCTGTATTTGGCAGCAGAACTGCTCACATTGCACCCACATTTCAGATACTCTGGACTAAAACATATCCCTTCAACAGAAAACCTGAGCTGTTTGACAAAGCGAAAGCAACATCTTACCTTCATCATCATCATCATCTACACCATCACCGTCCACCTCTCCATCAGAGTCCGAAGCTTCCCTATCCTCGATATCGTAGCCATCCAGGTAAGTCAGCTGGGGCAGCAGCTTGAACACACTCTCTCTGTAGTCGTTCAGGTTTGTCACTTCACAGTTGAATAGGTCCAAACTCTTAAGATTATCCAGCTTTTTCTGTTGATCAAATACACTTAAGTAATGATGGGAAACTGCTGCATTGCATGTCTCAAGTTAACAATACTCAATACTAATGTGTGCATACTTTGAATGCAGTTGGGTAATATGTACTGTTAAGACTGGCCAACCAGCAGAAGATTTGCCAGACCATTCATACTGATTTGGTTATGCACCAGTGTCTCTGGTTGCAGCGCTACCAATCAGTAAGCAGAACTACTTTTGAATTTCCTGAAAATCTACACAGCAAAACGTGTGTCCTGTACATTTTAATTATATGATTTTCCAATAATACATATTTTTCAATACACAGGGAACTGATAAGGACCTCTTGCAGTGTAACTTGGGTATTTATATCAAAAGCAGTCTTGAAATTAGAAACTGCTTTTTGTTTGCTGTGTTAAAACAGTTGTGTGCACCACAAGATTGTGTCTACATGCTTTGTCCAACTATACTGCATTAGCAAAAGATAAAATAACACACACACAAACACAGTGCCTGCACCAGCCTAAGCTAAAGCTTACACATGGATGTGCATAGCAAGTGTCTGGAAACACATACCAAGGGTTCCAATGTGCTGATGTCTTTCAATTTGTTGCCACTCAAGTTTAGATGTGTGAGGTTGGGTAGTTTCTCTGCTAAAACATCGAGGCCGCCGCTGATTCTATTGTCACTCAACTCCAGCTGAAACACAGTAGAAGCAAATATTATTCTGACACTTTAGTCACAATTCAGCATTTTCATGGAGGCATGATGATGATGAAATATCATTTTTACCTTTTTGAGTTTTCCTAGTTTAGGCAGGTTGGAGACTGAGATTAAGCCTACATTTATCAAACTGAGGAACTCCAGGTTGACAAACTCAGCTGTGAGGCCTTCGATTTTCCCTTCAACGGATCGACAATTGTCAAGGACAAGTTCTCGTACCTGGAATATATAAAAGTACAATATCACACACACGAAAAAATCTAATGCATTTGGTGAAACCATTCCTACTAATCATCTATGATTACAATTTATTCTACAAAATGACAAAATCAAATATTACAAAATATCTTTACATTGCTGCTCTTCTTTTAGGTCAAAGTGTTTATTTGTCATATACACAGTTAGGAAACGTGTTTCCCTATACAATGAAATTCTTACTTTGCCGTCCACATGAATGCCACAAAATACAAGTGAAATATAAAATAGATGAGCAATAACACTAATCTAAGGCACTTTAAAGCAGCAAGTGAAGGAAACAAATAAAAAAATACAAGAACACAATATAATGCACAATATATAATGTTTTAAACAAAACGATGTAACTTTTGTAAGCAAAACAAGCTGCAAACAACATTTTTGACTGGGTATTTTGTTGTTTAGCAAAATGGCCCTTATTTCGTATACAGTAATTAAAGGCAATGTGCAGTTGCTGTAAAATATTATAAATAAATCTGAAGGCGGACTTAGTTTTAGACAGTTAAAGCTAACACTAGTTGCGCAATCCAATGCTGCACAAAAAAGTTGTCAAACGTCAAAGATCACGAATTCTCAAGTAAAACGCCAAAAATGGAAACTGCGTACCCATCTAAAACCACTTTGTACTACTGTTTGCTTAATTTATCTTGGCGTGACGGTTAAGGCATTGATTTCCGCAGCAGCTTCCCATGGCCTGCTGATGCAGTCACTAATGACAAATGCAATGATTTTTGGGAGCTAGCCCGCTACAGGCTAACCATTGCCGCTTTTAAACGGTGCCGTGCAGGAGAGGAGCAGCTAGAGGTCTGTGTGCCCGCCATTAGCCAATCCAAACAGCAACGGAAAGGACTGCGAATACACCCTTAGTAAAGACTCTCTTTTTTCGTTAAGCCAGCTTTCATGGGGGAAGTGGAATAATCCTCGCCGTCGAGCGAACGACAGATATTGCCAGTTTGTTACAGGGTACTACATCGTTTTCAGGGCGAAGTGGCAAAGGAAATATACAGAGAACGGAAATTTAGTAAAAAACAAAGATGGAGACAGTTCCTTTCTCCCAGAGCTTCAAAGACGACAGAATGACAACATGGCGATTCCTGAGCTACAGTATGCAGTTCTCTGAACACTTCTGTGGCGAAAAGTGCTGTTATGAAAGATCGATTATCATTATTTACACGTTACCAAAATAATTTTTTCGATGTTGAATTCGTTTTATTTCGTGCACGAGTCGAGAGGAAACGCCGACCATCGAGTTTTTGGCTGCCCACGCATCAAGCGCGATGCATCGGATCTCCGTGTCATTTGTGCAGGCTGGCTCAGTTAATGAAGCCGCTGGCCAACAAATCAATCAGTTTAGTTGCAAACGACGTCAAGTTAAGCTTTATTACTACAACAAAAATACGATCATTGTGTTTGGCGTTGTAGGTTTACAGTTGGATATATTTTGTTGTCTTTGACCAGGGTACCGAAGGGGGTAATATGGCGGGAACCAAATACTAAGTTAGGTGGCTCCTGTCTGATTGTTTCAGAAACGGAATCATCGGATCACCAGGCATCATTAAACAAGTATGCAATATTTACAACGGTGTAAATGCAAGGAAATGAAATGGTAGACGTTGCTACTGCATATCTATTTTAGGGACTTAGCTGCTGCACGCTCCCTTTAAAACTTCGCAACAGCTTAACCGTGGCTTTAAACAAATCACGATTACAAGAATAGATGGCTATTTGCTCAAGTTGGTGTGGAAATATCAATTGGCTAAGGCTTGAGTAATAGTGAGTGAAGGTATAGAGGATTCGTGAACCAAGTGTATTTTGTTGTCGCTGCTGAGTCTGGCCATTTGATATTAACGTTAACGTACTCTTCGGAAATTTAAAGACATGGCTAGTTATCTGCGACAGCTGTTTACATGGTACACAACTCGATTTTAGCATAGACGCGTTGAAGTTGAAAAGTGCATTTGTAACATAAGCCCCCAATTTTAGCAGATACGCTAGCAGCAAACATGGCTTCCAAGGTCTTTGTAAAATATACCGCTCTGTGAATGCCGAACGCGGCGCAGCAAGCAAATTTCCTAATATATCAGCGTAAAAAGAAGTTTACTAATTGTGCTTCAACGGTGGAGTCGAGCCGAATCGTGTGTGCACCACTGACCAAGGAGGCTGCGAAACGGTTAAAGCACTGCAATAATGCCAACACGCTGAGGAATCGCCGTTTCAAAGTAACGATTGAATGTAGCCTTTCTCCTCTCGGTGCCCCTATACGCCCAAACCAGAACAGTATAGAGGATTTTGCTTGTTGTGCGAGTGTTTTCCGCCCTATTATAAAAGAGAAACACAATCTAAAGCCCATGTGGTCACCATTACGTTAGCCACACAGGTCACTCGCAAAGCAAAAAAAGTAGCAAGCTAGCTAGCAAGGCTAGCCAGAAACTAAGGGTTGGTTTTAAAAAGCACGACTCACATCAGACGGTGTCCTGTTTCTTAGCTCCAAGTGGATCCTCTTTTTCATGTCCATCTTGCCCTATGAAAGTTAAACTTTTCTCTCTTGGGTTTTAGTGGGATCTTCAGTCCAAAGGCAGAGATGCCCTAATGGAGGGAGAATATAGGACTGTATAATGAACTGAGCCAAACGCTAAGTTAGTCGGAGAGAGGAGACAACCATGGAGGGAAACGGGACTGAAACAAAATATATGCTCAACAGCGCCATCTGCGTTCAGAAACGCCCATCGCCTCTATGAAGGCAATGCAGTCACAAAACATGACGCGACCCCGTCACAGTGCTGTGGTGCAATTTATTTCTGCAAGGAAAGTACTGTGCTGCTTTATGAAGACAAGAACATTTTGGCTGTAAACTAAGTTTTCTCAAATTAAGAATTGCAGGATACATGTGTATAGTTTACGTAAAACAGCAACCCATCGATAAAGTAGCCTTGGTCATACCCTGAACTTTATGTCTAACTTAATAAAGATTCATGGCTTGAATACATATGTACGTCTGATATATTGAACATCATATTGTTATTGTTGCACAGTAAGGCTATCATCATGAAAAAAAAATCACTTTTGACTTGTTGGCAACCAAAACAAAATATCTTCCTATTTTATAAGTGCAGTGTATTAACACATAATTCCTGTGATAATTTTGACTTGTACTTTAACTCAGGAACACCACGTTTTTTTTCACAATTTGGACACTGCTAGAAAAGAGAGTTACATTTGGGTTGCAGTAAAGAGCACTGTATATGCCATGGGTTTTCAACCAGTGGTCCGTGTGTCCCCGGTGACCTGTGAAGGCAGCAGAGAGACAGATAGCAAGCGATCCCTAGCCATGCATTCAGTAGTGTAGTTTCACTGTGGCAATAACTTTTTAAAAACACATTTCCATGTATCAATTATTGTTTGTGAATAATTGAATTCATTCAAATATATAAAATTTAGAAAAGCCCGGTGACTTGCAGGATTAAAATAGTTCCCATTCAGTTGATCCGCCCCTTATGGTTACTTCTTAGTCAGAATGGTGGTCCCTGGTTCATAGTCTGTTGGAAACCCCTGGTATATGCATATAAAGGCAGTGCACCCCTCTAGCCTCCACCTCCTTTGCTTCCTGAGATACCAAAGCCCTCCAGCTGTTGGTTTTTTCAAAATTAATACATCAAAAGCTGTATTCTGGATGTCTGTCAAATTATGGATTGATTTTAGATTAGCAATTTTTTTAGAAGTAGGCAGGTGGCATGGTGGAGCAGTGGTTAGCGCCCCTGCTTCACAGCAAGAAGGTTCTGCGTTTGAGCCCTGGCTGACCCGGCGCCTTTCTGTGTGGAGTTCTGCATGGGTTTTCTCCTGGTACTTCCTCCAGTACTCAGCTATATCCACTTTTCAGGTCACATTATTAAAATACCCTTTCTTGTGCAAGTTACAGCCTACACACTGCCTACTCTGTGGAAACTGCTTTCAAAATCAGTGTCTGGTAGTTGAGAGTGCACACCAGAAGATCAAATCAAATCAAATTTTATTTGTATAGTACTACTATGACTGTCATAGTAGTACTGATATTAATCATAATTTAACAGGAGACCCTCTTATTTCACCTACGATGCTGGAGGCAGTTGGCAGTTGAGTGTTATTTACTCTGCTAGACAGCGTCTTTCTCTGACTCGCTCAAACACACACTGTAGAGCTCAATGTGCTGTGACAAGATTGAGAACACACCCCAACTGAGCAGCTCTCTGTGTGATAAGGCAGCTATGCCCCTACTCAAGTTAAAGACAGGATTTCTTGGCCATCTAATGGTTTAGGCCATAAAATTGTTTAGAACATACATCTTTACAGAAAAAGGACACATTTAGCGTGTTTACTGCTGATTACTAAGTTTTATCAATTATGCATAAAGCAGCAGGTTCAGAACTTCATTTAACTCTTTACCTGTTTTGTATCCTTTAACATATTGAACCGTTTAGGCGTTGGAAATTTAATATAATTTATTTGTCTAAATTCAGCCATGTATGCTTTGCCATTGCTACACAACAGCAACATTTTAGCTTCACTGCAAGCTTCTAGTTTGTACATAAACATGTATGCAAAACAAAAGGTCCCATTTATTATTCGGTCTTTTACTAATTTAATTCAGGCACAAACCATTTATGCTTTACATTTGTGCAGCAGTCTTAGAAAGGCTGTAGGTATTCCTTCCTTTACAACAGTATTTTATCCATATCACACGCTGCACACACACACACAACATGCTCTGGTCTTTTTTTTTCTGTCAGTGCTGTGCCAGCTCCTCCAGCTTTACAAATATGATAAGGCCAAAGCTGCAAGAACTCTCCCAGCACTATGCTAATGGTTAACCAGATAATTCATGTAGGGGAGGGAATAGAAAACAGTCAGAAGTTATTCTGTCTTCTTTTCTGTGCTTGGCGCCTTCAATGAATTGAATTCATTCATAGTAGGACTACAAATGGAGGGGATATTGCAACAAGAGAAACAAGAGTCGGAATATAAAAATCCGAATGAGGATGAAGGTAACTTTTCTGGTCTTTTTTATTTTTTTGTAAATTAAGGCCTTAGGTATTTCCATTCTCAAAAATGACATGTTGGCATGTGTCTTGTGGTGAACTCATACACAGAGATCTTTTAATCAACCTCTAAGCTGCATTACTACAAGCAAAAGAGATATGTTTACTATTTATTTATCTGTGTAACTGTATTCTACAACAAAGTGTGAAAGTGTTTTCTACTTTCCATTCCTACCTGGAAGAAAAAATGTCTGTAATCCACATCTTTACATACCATCAGTCAGTCACATTGCCCAGTCATGCGTTACAAATACTGATTATATGGTGTCCCTGCACCGCTTTTTGTTTTGAAGGTGGGATCCGTTGCCGACTGCGGGACAGGAATCTACTCAGGAAGAGAAAGGCCGAAGCAGAAGAGAAGGAAACTAATCAGTGGGTTTGGGGGTAAATTTATAGAATAGCATTGTCAGTGTTAGTGAAGTGACCTGTATTTACCAATATATTCATTAGTAACCATGTTTAGTTTAGCAGTAAAAAGGTTTTACTTATTTAAGCATGCTTTAGTAGGGTTTATAACTAGGCTTATTAACAGAATTTGCCTGTTTAAAACATTCTCAGAGCCCTAGCAACTTATCATTCCTCTATTACTATTCCTCTATTTTGAATATGGAGCAAGAGGAAACCAAAGTTTGCTCTAATGTTTCTATTGACTTCCCAGATCCATGTCAAGGACTTTGTACTATCAGCTTAGCAAAATAATCACAAAGAGCTGTATCAATGTCCACTTTTATTGAGCTTGATAACAATTGTTGTACTTTTTCAGAGTGGAGAGCCAAAGAAAAAGATCAGTAGCTGGGGAGAAGAGTGGCACAAGGAAGAGAGGGAGGCCCAGAAAGACTGAACCCACGGCGGAGAGATCCGTCATTCAGGAAGAGGCAGCGGTACTTCAGGAATCTCCTGCAGTAGTGGTGGTGTCTGAACCCGCCGGGGCCATCCCAGATCACACATCAGGCTCTTTTAGCCCCTTGATTGCTGTGGGAGGTGACACACTGGTATCACGGCAGCCAGCATCTCTGCTTGCTGGATCTGTCTTTGCATCTGGTCTAACTTCTCCAGCACCACTTAATCCAACTCCAGCTCTTGTTTCATCTTTAATTCCAGTTCCATTTCCTGCACAAATTCTGGATACGGCTCCAGTTCCAGCTCCAGTTGCTGTTCCTGTCCCAGGCTTGTCCCAAGTCTCTGTTCCAGCAGGAGCTCCTGCTCCTCCCACAGTTTTTCCCCTGGTGGAGACCCTGTACACTGACTCCCAGGGCAGGGAGGCCCTTGACCAGGTCCTGATTGAGGACTTGGGTGCAGATGAGGAGGAAGACATTTCTCCATCACAAGACAAAGGAGCTGCTGAAGGTGCTAAACAGGAACTTTAGGTTGCCCAGAGAGTGAATGTTGATGAAATACAACACCAACATGACTTGGTTTTTGGCAATAGACACATTGTTCAAACCTGACCTTTTCTTTTAATAATAACTATATATTCTCTGCCTTTTTTTTTAGATATGAGTGAGACACCTTCCATCGGCGTGCCTGAACAAAGCAAAATGTTTTCAGTTTCCACTGTGTTCTCACCACCAGAAGAATATCTCTCAGGAAATTAATACACTTTTCAGACACTGCCTCAGTTCCGGACATGCCACGCCAGACTATGTCCTTTTCTGTCACAGTCACAGTTTATATCTGAGTATTGTTTTGGATAGTTGTGCAGCCTGATGGTTGAACAGAATAAATATGTTGACCGTATGCATAGATTATTTGAAAAATGTATGAATTCAAACTAACCTTGTATGCTTATTTATTATTGGTTTGAGCTTCACTGCGAAGCCCATGAAATCTATTTTATACTTTGCATTTAGTCAACAGAAAATTTTGCTTTTATTTAAAAAGTAAATATACCAATCACTGCTAATGATGTGTTTGTAATTGTGGAATTATTTGATTGAATTTTTAAACATTTTACACCTAATAAAACTGCTTACATCATCCGACTGTGGTCATTATAATCTGTGTCACACATCAGTGTGTAAATGGCAAAGGTGACAAATTTATTTTCATCAATGAAATAACAGTTTGTTTCTATTATTTAATAGATTTTTATCCTTTTATTCACCCTCTTGCAAAATATATTAAAAACCACGGATTCTACTTGTATTTTTTTCTGTGGGCTCTAATCAGATGGATATTAGTTTATTTTGGAACTGTAGTTTTTTCCAAAATGTTTGTAGCATCTGGAACTTGTCTTTTCTCACTAAGATCATATGAAAAATTAGCAGGAATTATGTGTAAATATTTTTACCTGATGATGGCCAAATTTTATTCTGATAAATGTAAATACTTTAACAATAAACATTTACCTGCCCTGATCAGTAAAATTAAAAAGTATGTTTCATTACTCCCTACAGTGTAGCAGAAAAGCTGACAAACACTGTATTAACTGCTTGCATTTATTTTATACTTTGTTGGTCAAGACCCATGTACACCTGCCTCCATTTTATGTATTTAATGAAATGAAACTGTATTTGTAACCTGTAAAAACTTTGCTTCTATTTTATGTACTTAATTTTATAAGCTACTATGCACAGTGGGAGAAGTATTCTGATCCTTTACCTTATTAAAAGTAACAATATGACAATGTAAAAATACTCTACTACAAGTAAAACTCTTTTATTCAAACATAAGTAAAACTATAGAAGCATTATCATCTAAATGTATTTAAACCCTCATTATAGTGCATGGTGAATTTGTGTAATGATATTATAGGCTATATAATATTATTTATTATTACTCATGCATTAGCATATCAGAAATAGGTCACTTTAATGTTGTAACTGCTATGGTGGTGCCAAACACAACTATTTTAAAGGCCTATAATGTTTTATCATATTATATAACAAGATCTTACACTGTCAGTAAAATCTGAAACTGTACAGTAACTAATGTTGTAAATGCAGAACAATATTTTCAAGATATATACTCAAACACAGTACTTGACTAAATGTACTTATTTACACACAACCAATGACTATACTGTATAATTCTGTGTGTTATGTGTTTGCTACTTCTTCTTATAAATAAAGCTTGATAAAAAAGATAATGAAATGACTCTTAGCTGCCCTCTACTGATATGAAACCATAATACATACATATATGAAACACGCAGTGTCCTGCAACCAGTGCAAATTTATCATTGACTTTGCCACTTGAGTTTGTAGTTTAAGTTTAATAGCTGCGAATACTGCTTTTCAGTAACATCTACACCGCAATAAATATGTGACAAATAAAAAAGGCTGCACCGCTCAACACTGACTTTTCACTCTCACATGAAACACTCCTGGTTGGCCAACAATTAAATCAAACGTGCTTCCGCGTTGAGAAACTCTCACGTGCTGTGTTGTGTTGAGAGGTGGCTAGGTCACAGCTAACTAATAAAGCGCCGTTTGATCTTGTGTTATCTTGTATATCAGTAAGATGAGTCCTCTGTGTGACTGCTGCGGTGAACACATCAGTAAACTGTATCAGCAGGTTTCTGTGATGAGAAAAGAAATCAAGAACCTGAGGTACGTTCACTGACTCAAATCTGCCAACTTAGTGGCCTCAACTGTAACTATATATTTGTGATATGGCAAATGTATCTCGTATCTTCTTTAGACACCAGCTTTTTCGGAAGCTTTATAAGTCTTATCTGACCTTGTTCTTTGTGAATGCAATTCGTAACATTTTGACTGGGAATGGACTTTTCTGTAACAGGCAGATGTTGGACAGTGCATGTAGAGCTCACCGTAAACATATGGCATCTCTTCAGTCTGCTGTGTCAAAGATTGGACTCTGTGACCCTGACAAAGACCATATACCAGCACCACCTTCACCAGCACCACCGCAGACTGCATTAGAGCGAGGTAATTACATATGTAATATGTAACCCTTTTAAATTGGTAGTTAGTAGTAACACCCACCCCTTTCCAAACTATTAGACATGAGGTAGAAATATTCTCCTTTGGTGCTGTGTGGCCATCAGTGGCACAGGACACACTGCACGGATAGAGGGAAGAATGGAGTCCAAATTCTGGATGCAAATGTGATAAACAGTCAATAGACTGAAAGTGTAAAGAGGCTGGCTTATAACAAGTATAGACTCCCTCAAAATCCACCATGAACTACTGTACTTTTGTGAAACCCAAGCTGAAGTTTTTGCAACATCCCTCACATCATTGACAACCCGTGGGTAGATATTAAACATGCTGTGCATGCAAGATGACTATCTCAGAACTTGATCTGCAGGAAGAGTGGATACAAATTCCTAAGAAGGCTCTTAGGATAAGGATAATTACCTTTATTGGCCAAGTATGTTACACACAAGGAATTTGTTTCCGGTACAGAACTGAGCTGACTACAAAAATTGTTTTCAAGCTGTGATATTAACCAAAAGGAGGGTTACTAAGTACTGACTTAGTGGTCAAACCTTTGCATACTGTTTTATTGTTAGAATTGTAAAGTCACTTAAAAGTACCATAAACAAAGACATAAAAGATTTTGAGAAGCCTACAAGAAGAAACCCTCTGCTGCATGGTAGCATTATGTTGTTGCATTTCATACTGTACAAATACATCACCTAGTAAAAGATAAGATAAAACTTTTATTCATCCTAAAGTAATGTTTTTGTACAGCATCTGAAGTAAGCAAGAGTCACCTGCGCATATGCAGGATCTCCATGCAAGCTCTCTGCTTTGTTTACTGTCTCTGTATGGGGATTGCTGAAAATACTATGAATATAGAAAATGACAGACCTTATGCTTTGATTGTTTTGGCACTTAAAAACATGCACAGAAAGGTGCATCTCTGTTACCATGGTCCAAATCACCACAACTTTTCTAGTTGTGTAATGTTACAGGAAATATCCAGACAGTCCCAATTGGTTACATCAGCTCCTGCTTCTCTGTGAAGAATGGGACACCCAGACAGCCCACCATCTGTGGCCCATCAAGAGCAGAACTGCGCATTCAGCAGAGCATCTTCAATAACCCAGGGCATGCTCTGGTGGGATTGGAACAGTACTCTCATGTTTGGTAGGTTACATAGAGTTGGTGTACTGCATATTTAATTTTATTTCTCTTTTTATGTCTAATGTGAACCTATAAAGCCATGTGAGACTGGAATTGTGATGAAGATTTGTATGAATAAATTAAGGCACACAATAAATCAGTGTTAGCGTTAGCAGAGAATTGCCTTACATCAAACCAGATGCTCCTTTTTCCTCGCTAAACTGTGTTATCCCGTAGCGGGAATGCGTTACATCACATGATGAGCTGTAGACAGGGAAGAGAAGACAAATCCAATATGTTTGACACTGTGAACGATATTCTGTGCCCTCCTGCAACTATTTTTCAAACATTGCTCTACCTACCCTATACGCCTAGTGCCAAATAGCAGTTGAGGCAGAAATAAATCACTTTGCAGCTGTTAGTTGCGGTTATTGGTTAAAACAGCTTATTGAGGAAAAGGGAGTGCTTAGTTTGATGCAAGGGATCTCACTGCTAATGCAAACACAGTAGAATCATTGTCACATGAGCCTGAGATTGCACAGGGGTCTAAATCACGCTCACAAAACAATTCATTGTGCAGCCCTAAAATATGTTATTTGTCACATTTTGAGTAATTTTTGTTATTTTTTCTTTGCCTTCTGATAGAAGTAGTACTCAGTGTAACAGAACAGACTCTGCACATATTTAGACTTTTTCATGACATCTCTGTTTTTCCCCCTTCTGTGTCTACAGGATCATCTTTGTCTTTCATAAAAATGGGCACTTGACTTATAAAGCCAAAGTGAAGCCTCCTAGACTCAATGGTCAGAGAGTTGGTGTGTACTCGACACGCAGTCCGCACCGACCAAATGCACTGGGCCTAACTCTGGCTAAGCTGGATAAAATTGTGGGTGAGTGTCAGTATTTGTGTGTTTGCTATTTTTGTGTGAGGAAATATGTACAGATGTGTTAGAATGTAAATGTCATGATTTGTAGACTGTACGTTTTATGCCAAATGCCAGTTAAATTAAATCTTTTGTATGTTTAGCTTTAACATCAACAAAACAAAACAAAAAAACAAAACAACACCAAAAACAAACAAACAAAAAAAGCAAAACAAATTGACTCTGCTTGATACTAACAAATGTGTTCCTCAATTTTTGTTTTCTAGGCGACACAATATTTCTGTCAGACATTGACATGATTGAAGGTACCCCAGTCCTGGACATTAAACCCTACATCCCAGAATATGACTCCCTCAATACCAGGGTTGTCATGGACTCTGATTCAAACCCAGACCAACCAAATGCAACTACTATAGAGGAGTCAAACATCTTAAACCTCTGTAACTATTCAGAGACAGATGCTCAGTCAACCTTTAAAGGGGAAAGACTTGAAGATGATGTGGAGAGTTTCCTCTCAAGAGTCAAATCTGAAGCTGATATTCTAGTCTCAGATTCATCTAGAGTCAATGCTCAGTTTTCCCTGTCCAAAGACCTTTACAGTGTGCTGGAAGGGGTCAAGGCCTATGTGAACCAAGGTGACTCTTGTCAAAGTGAGGACCAAGTTTCAGACTGCCCTAAAACCAAGCCTCCAGAGTTGACAGTTGACCACCCCTGCTATGGAGGGGAGACCTACAGTATCATTGCTGGCTGGATCAAAGAGCCTCCTGTTGGCATTCTGGATGTACGCTTTACCCCTCATGCTGAGAAGGAATTAGCAGAATTCCTTCCCGCACACCTGTCAGGTAATTCAGTTTCATATAATTTTGTGTTTTTCTTAAAGGGCCCGTGGCATGCTTTTCCTTGTTTTTTGACTAATCTACAATGGTGAATTATCATCTTAGACGTGACCCAAAGCTCAAAAAAATGCAGTGCTCGTACTAGTATTTCTATGAAGAAGCAACTTGATTTATACACATTTGGTAAACTGTCACTCGGGAGACTTTTTTTCTAACAAAATAAAGTATTACGTGAGAGTTTAGGGATCTCCTTAAATGGGCATAAAATCCAGGCTCATGTGAGCTTGTGGTGCCCCCACCATATTGGCAAAATGTTATATTGAATTGCTTGTTATGTGTATTTTAACAAAGCTTATGTAAAAAAAAAAGGCATCCAGGGTGCGATTCTAAAAGCGGAATTTTTCGACTATGACCAGAGGATGCTTGAAGCCAGTGTGTCTACTGCATGTGATGTGTTGCTGGTTAACAAGCCGATTAATGAGCCATGATGTTATTGTTGGAGCTACTATAACTGTTGGAATTAATTTCACTACTTTGGGATTGTATGCAATACGTCCACTACTTGGTCGGACTTAACTGTAAATTTAAAAAAATGCATGTTGCATGTTTGTTAATGCCTTGTTTCTGTAAGGTTAGCGAGAATTGTTGTAAGGCTGGAGAAGTTAATATGTCTGCATTATGCCAGTTAAAATATGGGGTTTCTTAATTACCTGCTTTGTTTAGTGTTACACATCTCTTTTCATTGGTACATATACCATTGTTTACCCATCTAGGAAGGAGAAATTCATGTTTATTAATGCTGTCTTCACAAACTATCTTCTTGTTTTAAAGAAGAGGCTTTCTGGCTCTGATTCTGAAACAATTACAAACTATTTGGAGTTATGAGGGGTGCCAAGCTAATTTAGAGGTACCCAAGATTAAACATTAAATGACTGGAAACAAGCAAAATGAGCATGCCATGGGCACTTTAAAGCCTTTTGTTTTCTTTTGTCCACAAGAGGGTGCTAAAAAATTAAAACAGTCATTGTGTCATCACTTGAATAAACAAACATATATGCAACACAGGACCCTGTGAAAGTGACAGACCCAAGTTCCAGTTTCTGTGCAGTCCAGAGGAGGCTGCTGCCGCCATCAGAGGGGTTCTGTCTGCAGATCCGCGGTCAGTCTATAGGAGGACACGCTGCAGAGACAGACTCTTTTTCTTCACCATCGACACGGCTGACATCACATGCTGGTTTGGACAAGGCTTTGCTGAGGTGTTGCAGGTCCGACCTGTCACGTGCCATATTGCCTCAATGTGAGAAACTCTTTCAGTGAAAGCTTTGCAGCACTATAGTGATGCTTTTTGGTAGACAATAGTTCATTTTTTATCTCTTGGTCCACTGCAAATCTAGTACATTTTAAACATCTTTATTTGAAATTTTAAAGACTTGCCTACTTGTCCCATACATCCTGATTATTTTGTTTACACACAGTTGTTCTAGGCAGGTATTGATCTATATTTTTGCTCACAGTATTGTTTTCTGTTACATTTATTGTTTGTCTTTATGTGGAAGACTGGACCTTTATTTACAGTGAAAAAATAAACTCAGTGATAACGAGTGAGTGGACATTTTTGTTTCTTGTTGTAACCCCCCCCAAACTAACTGTTAATAAATCACTCTCAAGCTATAACTTAAGAGGGTGCAGGAAAGAAAGCTACATTTTCTGACCATCAAAATCGCCCAAAAGTAGTGACATTAACGTCCTGTAGGGGGCAGCAGTACGTGGAAGTAGGCGATACGTCCAGCCATTGCTTCACTCAATAACCGAAGAAGATAAAGGCCCAATAGCAAGGCTAACATTTGTGTTTTGAATGAAACGCGGTTGATGGCCGTTCAGGGAATTTGGCTTTCCTCATTCATGTCACTTTTTCAGCATTGGATATCGGTGGTTGTTAACGTTTAGTAGGTAATGTGGGAAAAGAATTGTTTGGTTAGAATACAATGTCTTTTAGTTGCCGTTGTGTTAATTTACCTAACGGCTTTGGTAACCCTTTCTTTAAACTACGAGTTTGCTAGTCTAACGTTTAAGTCCTTGCCGAAATTGCTAATTTAGTGTTAACATTAACGCTAATGTTACTTTATACAACTATGTTAGGGGTGGTTCATTTTTAGAGCGTATGAATATGCTAACAAGCCCGCTGTTGGACAGCTGCATGTAACCTAAGTTAGTAACGTTATTAGCCGTTTAGCAAGCTAACTTGGTTAGCGTTAATAAGGCTTGGTGTCAGACACCAAGCAGTTTAGTCAGCATAAAACACGTTTAATGGGAAATTGTTTGTTCTCATTTACAGTTCCTAGCACTCCAGAGTAATGTCATCCAAGAAGTCAGGTTTCAGTGGGGAAGGCTTGGTAAGACTTTTGCACTCTGCAGTTTACAGTGTTAAATCATGACTTGGCTAATAATAATTTGTACAACTTTTGTTATGCTTAGCCTTCCAGCAGATATGGGGAGCGTACCCCTCTGCGAAGTCTGGAGAATGAAATGCTAAACCTGTCAACTTCATCATCTAGGCTGAAATCAAAATCACTCTCAAGTACTGATGTGGAAATGACAAAAGTGCGTTTACATCAATATTTAGAAACACTAATAATGCTTGCAGTGTCTTTGAGATTGTTTGTAACACTCTGTCCTTTTTAATCAACAGGGCAATGTTTGTTGTGACTCAGAGCCACACTTGAACTCTTATCCATTCACCGAATTTATAACAAATGATATGACAACTGCTGAGACAGCTTGTGGACTTGGAGATGTAACATTGAAATCCTTCATCTGTGCTGGTGGTGAGGTTGAGATTTCAGCCTCTTCAGTGTGTGCAGAAGAAAGCATTGTTTTGCCTAAGGATCAAACTGTTCAAAACATGTGTGAAACAGAAGATGCAGTCACTTCTGACAATATGGTAATGCATTCATGCAGTGACCACGTAGAACATCCTTATTTCAATCCTGACATGAAAGATGCTTCCTCAGTTGACCAGTTAATTGGTGCCACATACTTCAGTAAAGATCCCAGCACTACCCTGGGCTCTGGTTACCTGGCTGATAAATGTGTCACGCAAGATTCAGGAGAGAATGGATCAGAAAAGCCTGCTAACGGACTGAGTGATTTAACCTTTAAATCATTTAACTGCACAGGCGGTGAGATTGAAATTTCAGATGGCACCCGACTTGCTGATGAGACTGTTCCTCTGCCTGCCAACCACATTCTGACCAGCACGGAGTCAAACAGTTATGATGTAGACCCAAGTAATTTAACTGGTGACCATGAAGTACAAAATGGTAGTGATCATTTAGATCATCCATATTGTAATATTGAAAGTTATTCATCAGCTCCAAATGGAAACTCATCCACTTCCCAGGAACAGTTGCTATGCAGCATTGAGGCTATGGATGAGGCTAAACAGGCTAGCTTTGTGGTAGCTGATAGCCATATTGGCAGACAAGAAGCTGTTACATTTGGCTCTTTCAACAGAGCAGGGGATGAGATCAAAAACCCGATGATGAAGAAGGCCTCCCCTCTTCCTCAGGACCAGTCTGTGATTTGTCAGCCCCTGGAAAACAACACTGTACATACTTCTGTTACACAGGAGCACATCCAAGATGACTATGTACAACTTAACTGCCACATGGGAGTTAAACTCGTAGATTCTCACCCATCAGCTTTCAGTACAGTTTCATTGAGTAACACATCCTTGAAGGCCTTGAATAATGAATTTGTTAAATGTCAAGTGCAAGAAACATTAAAGCACCCAATCCATTCTGAGGATAGTGCATTGCCTTCAGTGCCTCAAGAAACGGTGTCTTCTGATTCCAGCCAACCCGTTGCTTTAGCAGGGACTCCCACATCAGTGGAAGTGCAGCAGCATTATCTGGAACTTGTCCCTCGAGATTTTTCCAGCAGTGAATCCAGTAAGACAAAAGACAGTGCCCTTGGCTCATCTGGAGATAGACCTGTTCTTTGTAACTTTGCAGAAAAACTTTGTGCAGAGAATTTGACTGATGCTTTTAAAGTGCTATCAGAGTGTCCCTCAGTAGCATCAGCTTTGCAGGTTGGACTCCTCACTCCAGTTATGAGGAGAATCTCTCTAGCCACTTTAAAGACTCCCAGGGTTCCCAATGTGGACCAGTTTTTTGATGACTCCGCTCTTGAGGGTGAAAAGAGCTTAATGGCTCCTCTTAATTTTGACCCTGCTGGGTTATGGGCAGAACCACTGGACAGCCCATTGTCTTGTCCTCTGTTCAATTCTACAGCAATAGGTCACAAGCCTCAGTTTGGCCCAGTCACTGAGCAAGTTGAAGGTGAGAGTGGGAAGCCCTGTGCTGTGTCTCTGTCTGAAGTAGAAAAGCCGGCTCTGGATACTCCATTGATTCCAGATGGATCCCTTCAGCAGCAGCTCCGGCAGATGGCAGAGTTCCTCATCTTGGCATCTGGAAAGATGGGTCTGACTGCTAGCTCTGCTCCTGTTCCACTTCCTCCTGCCATCATGGTCTCATCAGCACAAGCTACTCCTGTAGAATCTCACAGTGTTTGTGTGGGCACCACCACCCTGAAACTAAAAGACCACAGCGTTAATACATCTGGCATATTTCAGAGAAAGAGGGATTTCTGTGTCGTCGATTCCTGCACTCTTACTGACCCTCTCCTGTGGAAGTAAGTGTTTGGTATGGATTTATTATTTAAAAATAAAGCCTGTGAATATACCAACTAATTCTGCTTTCTGTGATTTATTCCTGGCTTTCACTGTTCCCTTCTGTTGATCTGGTCTCAGTGTACCTCCCGGCAGCTTAGAGTGTCTCCCCAGGCTAGAGTTGGAGCAGAGGTTAAGGTCTAGCATGATCATGGTGGAGGCCCTAGTGCAGCAGTTGGCTGCAGCCAGAGCACATGGATATCCTTCAATGGGCCCTGCACCTTCAGATCTCAGGGAGAAACTAGTGCAGACAGACCACACTGAACTCAGTCAGGTAAGGACACATTGAGACATTTAAACAGTGGGAGATGTGAACTGTTTACAGGTGGTACTTTGAACATTTGTTTCTTTGTGAGGATTGCATAAGTTTTATTGGTTTCATGCACTGATTTTTTTCACAGAGGCCACAATTTCTGTTTTAATGGGAATATTTTTGTATTTTATATAGACCACAATATATCGAAATCTTTACATGGAGGCAATGAGCCGCATTAGTGAGTTGGAGCTGGATGGAAGTTCTTTGCAGAACCTCATTCATTGTATGCAGAACATGAGGGGCACAATGGTGAGAGACGAACACTGATAAAACATGTTCCTAGCTATTTAAACTTTACAGCAGTTGTAAAAGTTAGTTAATTGATTGGTGTATTGCTGTTTTTTTTTTTTTTTTTTTAACAGTAGATTAGTAATCTTTAATTTTTGTCTGACCAACAGTCTGTAAGCTAAAGACACTGCCATGGGCTCTGAGAAATTGTGCCCTTTTTTTTTTTATTTTTTTATTTTTTTACATTTTAAAGTGGCATATCAGCATGTTTTAGGGTCTTCTTAAACATGTATGTAAATTGTGTAAAATCATTAACAATGAAGTGTGCTTTTGTTCCACCAGACTTCTGTGAGTAGTGACATGGATGCTGCTCTCTCTAACATGAAGCAAATTGGAGATATTGTCAGAGAGGACCATCAAAGCCTTGTTTCACATGTATGTAACCACATCTCTTACAGGTTTTACTCGTATAATGTCAACAGTATGCTTGTAAACAGTCATCAGGCAATTATATTAAAGTACGTGTTTTTTTGTTTTTTGTTTTTGTTTTTTGGCTGTAATAATGGTGCATGTGAATGTGCTGTAGCTGATATTCTCTCTGTTGTTTAGCATAGTCAGATGAAGTGTCTATTTGAGAAAACCAAGGCGATACAAACCAGAATGATGCAGAAGGTCAAAGATGCTCTTCACCAAAGAAATGACATGAGGATGCAGATGGAGGGAGCCTTCACAGACAAGGAGGCGGTAAGTACAGTGACTAATTGCTGTAATTATGTGGCCTAAGTAGTTTAATGTATGTTTTGTTTTTAGCCACTTGACCATTCCAATCCTAGTTCAAGTGTCTCAACTGCAGGTGACAATGCAAAATACTTTTGTGGTTTGTGTACTTCTGAACACTAGGGCTGTAATTTGTCGTGGTTTTTTTGTGGAATCATAAGATAAAATTATAAATGAATAATGTCTGTGCTGTCGTTGAGTTAGGAGCAAGCTGAAGTGATTAAACAAATTTAATGAAGTGAGGTATCACAGGCCTGTAAATGCATACTGTTTTATATAGCAGGAGTGGGAGTTTTCCTCCACTGTTGCACCTGAATACCAGCATTATGGAGAATATTCAAAGTGCTTTCACAAGTAAAATTTTCAGGTTTTTACTAGTGATATCCTTTTTGCTTTTATAGTATTCTTTATTCCAGGTGCATTAAGTATTTCTGTAATTGTTGTTTCCAGGCCCTCAGTGCAATGGAAAAACTGAGGACGCATTGTTCCACAGAAATCTCAAAGCTAGAAAAGTGTGTGGGGTCTCAGCAAGAACTCTTGGCTGTCCTAAACCAGGTTTACCCACAACAGGCAAGAGCAAAAAGTAGTATTATAACTTACTGAGCATAATGTCTTTCAGATTGTCTAATTTTATGTTGTCGTCTCTCGCTCCCCCCCCCCCCTTTCTTTAATGCAGGTTGCATTAAACCAGGCCAATAGTGAAACGCTGAACTCTGCCTCTGATCTTTTGTCCCAGACTATAGAGGAACAATCCAGTTTGATGAAAGAAGTATGTTCAGTATGCTTTAGAAGTGATTCAAACACTGTAGACTTGTGAATACCTTCACACATTAGGTTGTGATTTACTAAAATCACATTGTGTCTGAAGGACTTAAATTTGATATGACTGAGTAGTAACAGTGTTCATATGATTTAAATCCCTTGCGTGGTGTTTTAATGGAGACTGCCTTCAGAACTTTACGTTAAATACAGTGGTCATGTTGCTGACTGTTTTATGTATTCATCTTCTCACAGCTATGCACAGCCAGAGGCTTTCTGCAGAAAACGGTTCCCATGCTTCTGAAGCTGAATGAGAGGGCAGCGGCTGCTTTGAGAGAAAGAGCTGAGCATATTTCTGCAAGAGATCAAGCTGTTGAAGAGAGCGAGCAGGTCAGCCTTTTATAATTTCATTGTGCAGCACAGTATTTGTCTTAATAGACTAATGATCGTTAAACATCATGAAGATATTTTAGTTTAATAAACTTGTACTTAACAGACCAAAGAAGAATTGAACCAAGCTAATTTGGATCTCCAAACTGCCAGAGAACAGATTGGTGATTTGAATCTGCAGGTGACAATTCTGACCTCAGGTAAAAACTGAAATAAATATTTAACTTGCATTGGTTCTAAATAGTCAAAATAGTTTTCTTCTTTTCAGCCTATAAAATAGCTGTTTTTCTTTTTATTACATTTCAGAGATGGGTGTGCTGCGCAAGAAGCTAACAGAAAGAGAAGAAGAGAGGGGTCAGCTGGAGAGGAAGGTGACAGAGTTGTCTGCTACAGTTTCCTCCACATTAGCCTCCTACGCTTTCCTGGAGCAGGCCTTTGCTGCCGAGACTACCAAGTATGGTCGCCACAACAACACAACTCTTTTGATTGCATATAGGAATAGAGAATGAAACAAATACTGTAGTAGTGAAGCATTCTTATCAAGGGGATAATTGAAGAAGCACAAACAAAAATACAGCATGTTTGTGCTAAAATCTTGTTGTTTCAGGTTGCAGCAGTCATGGAAGGACATCCAGCAAGCCAAGGACAGAGTCAATGTGTAAGTGGTAGCCCTGATTTTCAATAGAAAATCAAGCAAACATTTCAGGTTGAAATGATATGAAAGGCAAAATGATTGAAAAGTTACTACATTCTTTTTTTTTTATATATCTTGTTAACTTTGTATTTAATCCTAAATATATGCGTAGGCATTTGGGTATCCACACTTTTTGGTTTCTTATACATTTTGGTTAGAAGGGAAGTTGACCTATGTCCATATTTGTATTATGCCAGGAGAATGGGACAGATAAGCAACCTCCCTGCTACACCTCTATAAATGTTAGAGAAAATACTGCAACTAATTTCGGTGCCTGTGTTTTGGTTATGTCCAGGTTGGAGATGTCACTAGGTCAATCAGAGCAGCGTGTGTGTGAGTTGAGTCAGGCTCTGTTGCAGAGTGAGGAACAGCTGAGTCAGTTGCAGACCCTCTCACAAACTCAGAGAAGAGAGATCCAGCAGCTCCAAGATGTCTGTGCACAACTCAGTGGTGTACGGGAAATGAACGAGGTTAGAATGCGTGTTATTCATAAGTGTAACTTGTGATTCTTGGCTTAGAAAGTTTGTCATATTTTTCCTTGTATGTTTTCTCATGCATGTTCTCAGTCAGCTGAAGTCTGAGCAGATTACCTGAAAAGGTTTGTGAGCAAAGCAAACCATTTAGCCTCTGCTAAGTCCAGCCTTGGTTTAGAGAGTGCATACGTTCTTACATAACATACATCGTTGATTATCACACATAAAAGTATCAACTGTGTGTGTGTGTGTGTGTGTGTGTGAGAACTTTTTAAGCAAAGTTCTGAGCATCCCACACAACTGAATAGTTATTGCAAGTGAATTAAAATGACTTTTGAATCCTCTTTGCTGTATTGATCTGCAGGTTTGTTTTTTTGTTTATTTATTTATTTTTTTTTACTGTCAGGTGTTGTCATCATAGGAATAGTATGTTTGGTTTGGATTTCTGGTTTCATTTCTTGTTCTCTGTGTGTCTCAGTTCTTACAGATGGAGAATGAGTTGGCGAGGGAGCAAGTGGCTGAAAGTGAGTGTCTTCTGAGGGCCAACCTGCAGGGGCTCCGTGAAAGAAACATCCAGTGTGAAGATCTGAAAGGCGAACTTAGTCAACTTCAGTAAGTGAAGTTAATGTGCACAGTAGCACTGCTGCTAAAACAAATCTTGGGGGAAGCATTGAGTGGTCTTCTTCTTTTTTTTTTGCATAAAGCTAGAAACCACAATTGATTAGTTCAGTGTGCCATTATGTTCATATTATTTCTTTCATAGTTCTTTTTACTCATTTCAGATAGGGGAGTGTGATATCAACAAAAAATGATATCTGGCTAGTTTTTGGGATTTTGTCTAACAATAAGCTATATTTTGCATCCATCATAAAAATGTTTTTGTCTTACTAGGTCACTCTTGTTAATACCTCAAGTATAACGATACACAAGCATTGAAATTGCTTTTCCCAAATGATCTCGCTAAGGTTTGCTGAGTGTGTTTTTGTGCTGGTACCTTGGCTGGTTTAGTCCTGTTGTGGGCACCTGACTCCTGAACCTTTAGTCTTCTTCAGACTTTGTGGTGGTTAGTTTGTGCGCACATGATGAAACAAACTGTCAAGTCTTTATTGGTAACCCATTTCTGACATAGTCTGCAGATTGCTGTCTTTTTTTTTTTTTTTTTAGCAAGATCTGAGCTAAAATACCTCCGTCCAAGTGATGATCCACGTCTAGTAATTAAAATAGCAAAATAGATTGAGGTTTTTGCTGTCTGTATTTTGTCTCTTGGCGCTGTCTGTTCACTCATTTTGCTAGTGCATTTTTACCAGCTATACTAGTGTAACTTGTGGTGTGGTGATCATGTAGCATGTGGGCAGAAGTCTGCCCAGCTAGGCTACATGATGCTGGGAATGTGTGGACTTTGTTTTTGTAAAGTGAATGACGTACTCTATAATGCCAGCTGAAGCATCATCAAAACTACTCTTCATTTTAGGCATATTAAACACTTTAAAAATCCCCCACGCCACCCTGTATCAATCCTAGCATTATAATTCCAGTGTTTCCCTCTCCCACCCCATCTCCCCATGCTGTCACAGAGGTTGGTGTTGTTGTCATCTTGCTGCCCTTATTAGTCTGTCATACAGTGATTGTGCAAGAAATCAAAAGGCAGGTGTAAAAACCCTGTTGACTGTTTGACGGTCACCATGACATCTGCCACCATGGAGGTTTGTGCAACCGGACAAAGTTAAACCAGGTTCAACAGGAGCCACAGGTCCAATTCCAGAGCAGTGCACTGAGAGATAAGAGAAGAGCAGCTCCACACCAAAGACTATAATCACTGCTTTAACAGGAAATCATTTATTGGGCTGCCATCTAAGAGCTACTTTATTATTACTGCATTTGTTGTCATCTGCCGTTTTGAGTTTTGTTGATCTTATTCCTTGCCTATCAAGGTTTTCAGTATATAATATCCTTAAAGCAACTAATTTCTTTTCAGTCTATTGCGGCTCAAAACAAACTGACACCATAAGCCACTCCTAACCGCTATTTGCTCC